GGAAGGAAGAGGCGGAGGCCAGGCCAGGACCCTACATGCCTTTATTACAGACTACCAAGCATAAGTGAAATCCATCCTCCAGTCACTAACTACACGTCTAGAGCACACAGATCTGTCGAGAGGAGAATAAACAGTCATTAAATTATGAGATATGATTAAATCATCGACCAATAGAAAATTTATATAATAAAGCCAGAAAAGGTGTAAAATATAGTTTACAATAATTATTCACATTCAAGGCTGTACATCAATACATACAACACCATGGCCCCGAACATGAATTCAATCCAAATAATTCATATATTAGAATTTAAATAACACAGACTGAACTAGAGGCCAACAAGAGCCAGCAAATAACCTTATAAGAATAAAAATACAAAAGTGTGTATCTTATATCGTTGCATTATTTGCTTCTGTTTTCACGAGTTCTTGGAGGAGGGGAGATTGCTGTGTGGTGTTTGTTGAAGGGGTAGGGGTGGTTTGTTTTTTTGTTGGTTTTTTCCTTTTTTTTAATCTGTACATCACAGTTACAGCTACAAACCAGGTAGAGAATATTACACACATAACTGACTGCCACCACTCTGAAAACAGCTAGCATACAACTATCGGAACTGATTATGGTTCCTGGTTCCTACTTTTTCTCTTTTGTCAGATACAGTAAGTTCTGCTACAGTTTGGAACATTTGCCACATCCAATCAGAGTTAGTACACAGTCATAGGAAGCTTTGTCAAATGGCAATCGTCTACAGTCACTACCATGCTGACAGACAGACCAGGTTACCGGGTGCTTATGAACCTCTCCAATTGTTTGCTGTATAAAAGTCGAATGAAACATTCTTAAATGACCAGTCTTATCTTAAATCGAAAGCATGCCATTTGGGGTCAGAGGGTTACCTGTCTGTAAACTCACTGGATCAACTGACGGACAATCTGTGTCATGACGCTTTGCAGGAGCACTTCCATTTGAATTAATAAAGTATTTCCATAAAATACTACAGGCATTCAGCAAAATTTCAGATACAAATACCACACCTATTCATGTAATTCACTAGTAGAAAGAATGATAAGACTCCACAGACCACATCTTCAGGCAACTATTAATGCACAAGTTCTCTCCTCAGGAAGGTGTTGAAATCAAATGCTTTGTCCAGAGGCCAAATGAAGTAACTGTGTTGACTTCAGTAAATCATTTTGAAGGAACTGTTAAATGTACATGTGGGAAACTCTCAGGACTCTTTATAATTCCCAGAACAAAATGCACCTACGTCAAGCATGTTAAATTAACCATCTTGAACTATGAAAAGGGATTACAATTATCACATCTTTGTTTCAACCCCTAGAACTTTTTTTCTGGGCTTATATATAGCAGATACTTCACAACTAAATCATGTCAGAAGAAAAGCAGAGCACAGTAGGATTTGATAGTTTGATGTCTTCAGTATTTAAGTGCTGAGCAAACCAGATCTTAATAGGTAATATCAGTCTGCTCACAATGCCTCAACATCACACCTGAAGCAAGTCTTTCCTAACATAAATCTTTCTCAAAACCAAAATCTTTCTCAACAAACTCATTTCTCCAGTTGAAGCAGTTTTAAACCTCCTGTGACTGGACTGGACAGGACACCGAATAAAAAAGCGCAATTCAAAAATCCTTTCTAGCAGCAGTACTTCAAGCACCACCCTAGAGAAAACAGACACAATAAACACTTTCCTGAAGTTCAATTCTCAAGCAAAACAAAATAGCAACATCGCTGGCTGAATTCTTTATAAATGGATTGGCAATTGTTCAAAATACAAAAGATGGAATGAATTAATCAGTAAATTGGGTTTTCAGTAGGTTTGCAATGAGGCATCTGAAGAAGAGTCCTCAAGTGCCCAATGACCATTTTTGTGCTTTGAAAGACTCAGATAAAGAGCAGAGAAAAGAACTGGCTTATCTGCAGCTCTGAAGAGCCTTCCTTGTACATCTCATTCCAGGAACTCCCATGAACCACAGGAGTGATGGTCAGGACAAAGATGTGAACCTATAAGCTTCAGGTATAAGCATTTAAAACAGGAGCCAGCCTTTTATAGTATGCAGCACCTGCCAGGACACATTTAAGTGGACAAACTGGTGAAACATACTTAAATTCACAATTGCTTTGTCTTGCCTTGCTCTATTCCTTTGCCATCTTTCAAAACCACCAATTTCACTTAAGAGTCCAAGACACACAGGCAACTCTCCCAGAAAAGTTGTAGTCCCTTCCCAAAAAATAAGCAGCTAAGGAAGACTTGATTTGGAACACTGAAGTTCTAAGGGGAGGGATGCCTATAAGAGACACTCGTGGTTTTCTATTGAGAGCATTGCCAGGAGAGAAAAAGGCATACTAGAATGCAGACATCAGCCCTCCAGGCATTTTCTTGATAGCTTACTGCCATCAAGATTTCTTTGGTTGAAAGCTTTTGGTGGGCAGAACAGAAGTCTACTGAGAGAGGATTTTCAAGGTGTGAAAAGCAGAATAATTACTTCTCTATGCCAAAATGACTACAAGTCATAAAACATGCTTGAGCATTCCTGGATTTTCACCTAGTGAACAGGCCTATGGAGATCACTCCATCTCCTAATGAAGCTAAGGTGTTCACTATTAGCAGAACAACTTTGCCCAACTGTTTATCTGAGACCACACTGTCTCACTGAACAGCAGTGGCACTACGCTGTCCATCACTGCTGAACTCTTCTGCACAAAGCTGGGGAAATGTCTACATCTCTATACCAAAGACTAAATCCAAAAGTTGCCTCCAGTGGACCCAACATACCGATGGAATTTGACAGCCAGAGAAGAAATGGATAGCTCTGCAACAAAGCCCCGGTATGTATCATCTTGGTTAGAATGGTAAATACAGCTATAATACAGGCACAGACAGAAGGTGTACTGTGCTATTCAGATTTTAGTGACAGGGAGCGTACCTTGTATGTGACGAAATTTCTCATGATGCAAAGGGAATGGTGATCTGTCTGTCTCATATCAGCCACACAGAGGACACCTTAGCTCCCTTAACACCAGGCACTGCAAGCCAATGATGTACTTTTGTCAAGTCTGTGTACAGGGCAGGATGACAGAAGAATAAGAGATACTGGAAAAGCTGAACTGTCATCAAAATTCAACCACATAACACAGTTTTAAGAGATCAGTAATAACTCTCCCCACCCTGTACAAGAACAAAATATCCAACATTCATGTGTTTTCTGAAAAATCTTGATAAGCCACTGATTTTAAAATACTGCCTCTACAACAGTAGCCCATGAGTTTGTTCAATATTGCAGCTGAACATTTCTTTCTTTGGTGGAAGGAAAAGCGCATCGCAGTACGAGACCTCAAAATGCAAAGAGACGGTATGTGTAGAAGGTGAATAAACAGGTGTGATGTTTACACTGCTTTTAAAACAAGGAAGGAATGCCTTTTTCCAGACCTAGGTCATTCCTCTCTGCAATGGACACGTTGAGAATACCATTAGGGAAGCTGGTTTTAGAATATAGAAAGTTATGTCTTTGCAATGTTACAAGAAATGTTTGACCACCAAAAAAACCACCCCAACTTAATTTGAAGAGGATAAAGGAGACAGATATGAAAAATGTTTTAATTTTACAGATATGCTTTAAGTACCATATATTTTCCCATTTGTATCAATATTCTCCTTAGAATTTTTAACCAGATTACTTTATGGACCTAGTATTTCAATTGCTTAAACTTTTTTTAGAGTTGCTATATATTTGGCCAAGGACTAAGAACAGGATTATCTGTACATCTCATTATACTATGAGACCAAAAAAAAAACAACCCCAAACAACTCAAGTAATCAATTGAACAAAGCTTTCATATTTTCTTCTCTACCCAGGTAAATAGGTTGGCCCCACTAAAATGTGCAATACATGCACATCTTGGAAAGAAAGCTTCTAGCCCTCATCTCCTGAAAAGGTGAAAAACTACTACTTCAATAGTAACCCTTTTATCCCCCACACTAACTAGTTAATTTTTTAGTTAGCATTAGTTAAAAACATGCTGGTAAGTTTACTGTCCTTTGATTAAACACATACATGATTCATACTAAAATTTAAATTGAATGTTTAAAATCTTATATGCTTCAGAAGCCAACATTTCAATTTTAGAAAACCTTCAGTGCCATGTTCAGCATTTTACTCTCTCAAAACCTGTTATCATTGGAACCTGTCTGCCAGACACATACATGTGATTCATTCACATATTTACTGAAGTACCACATAACTCCCGCAATCAGAACTATATTAGGAATTACACAAGGGTGCAAGTGACCTGGCTAAAAACGCCATATACCAATAAGCTGATGGACTGTGAAAAAAGGAAGAGAAAACAAAGAGGTGGTGCTTAGGAGAGGCATATAAAAGCTCCCTGATGAATTACAGTTTAATGATAATCTGAAAGTCACAGAAAAATCCAGCCCCATAAAAAGCAAGGCTGGTATATGATTCGGCATGTGTGCGTGTGGATTGGTTTCAACTCATCTTAAGTGAAGTTGGTAATGCAAGGTCTATCCACTAGTCTGCAGCAGAAATTGAGCTGAAGTGCACAAAAGCAAGATCTTCACTGCAATGATATGCACGTAGAAGCCTCAACAGAAGCACAAAGAGCGAGCAAAGCGACCCTGAATTCCATTACCTTTTTGCTTTTCGTTTTTCTTTTTTTTTTAGAAAAAAAAAAGAACACACAAACAAACAGAACATTTCAGACATATGCTTCCCCTTGAGATGGCAATAGGTGGGTTGAAAAGATTCCTCTGATCGGCTGCACACGGAGTTCTAGCAGCAAGTAGGGAAACTGGGAAATTTTGGATGAGCTTTACTATTTAGCAGCATTCTGGTGGTATCTGTGCCGCCAAACTTCATGTATCTTTTTGCACCATTTATGAGCATTCCCACTCGGGTCCATCAGGTAATATGTCCTGTTTGGCTGTAAGTGAACAAGATTTTAATGAGTACTCCAAACACTGTTTAACCAAAAAAACCAGTAGTTATTCTGCACCTGCCAACAAAATAATCATTCAGAATCAGTTCATAAACTTTTCAAAAGTTTAATTCCATTACAGTTATGCAACATTATAGATTACTGAATAACCACACATCTGGCATCTCAATATTGTTAAGCAACCAACTGACATAAAATACATTGTTGGTATACTCGTTGTGATCCACTATATACCAAGAGGGCTAAATTTTAAAAGTCTTTCTTATGAATTTCTTTCAAATCCCCAAATCCACTTACAGTTTATTTATATATAAATGACAAAAAAAATACACTTGTATTTTTGTGGGAAATAAGCATGTCAGGGTTTTTTTTTGTTTTGGTTTGGCTTTTGGGGTGTTTGGGTTTTGTGGTTTTATTAAATTAAGGCTAGCAATACTCGTATTTGAGGAATGACTCTCCAGAAAAAAATTGTTAGCAACTTAAAATAATTGCCCGATGATCTTGGTACAACTTACAAAGAAACTAAAGAAAGTCACTTACTGTGTGAACAAAAAATGTCTTAAAATTCTTGGCTTCTGGTCGCAACTCTAAAGACCAAGGAATTTCTCCTTTTAGAACTTTGTTGACAGGATCCACATAATAGAGGTGTGGCCCTTCTGTGAGCAGCAATTGGCGCCGACGTGCGAACAATCCCTAACAGGAAAAGTGGAAGCAGCAATGCAGAAAAAACAGGAGGAAAAAAAATTTAAATGTGTAGTTCTCTGTCTTTAACAACAGAGGTAGAATTAAAACAGCTCAGTGATAGAACAGTGTGTTTGTGTTCTGGGGGCTTCTTTTTGTTTTCCTTTGACCTCACTCCTTTTTAGGGGGTTGCAGTGCATTCCTACTACACGGCCAAATGCAAGTACAGGAAGAAGGCATCTTTAGAGTTCTAACAAAACATAAACCAACTAGCTGTACAGCGTGAAGCAAAATCTACTTGTCAAGGATTCCAGCACAGAAACCAAAACTCATAGTTTTGTGGCAAAAATTAGAAACAAGCAAGTAGTAACGTAGATGCAAGAGAACCTACATCCCTGTACAGCTGACACAGACTATTACTGTTCACCTGTACCACATTAAGTTAACGCTTAAAGCTGTCTGATGTCACCTCTGTCTCTCTCTGGATACAGGCACTAGTTGGATCCAGGAAAAACAGCAGAGTCAAAGAAAATATGGGCTTGTATTTTATTTTCCAGTATTCCTGGCACAATCCACATGCAGAGATGCATCAGGACAGAGTGTTTAGTGGGCTATATCAGAGTGGCAGGAGGAGGGGGAACAAAAACTCATTTACTACAGTCTTGAAATGAAAGCATCTTTAGCACATTCACTTTTAGTCTTTTCCAAGAATCAAGAGCACACCACTAAACTAGGAGAAAACAAAAACTGCTACATTTCAAAAAATAAACAAAACAATTTGACATTTACGAATAAGTTACACAAGCAAGCTCTAAACCAGGTTACTTATCTATGCTGCAACTGTGCAGAAAGGTGACAGCTAGATGTTGTTACAGGGAATCAGAGAAAAGCCCTTACCTTTCTTTTGTCCACTGGACCCATTTTTAGGATTAAGTTATTTTCTACAAACTGATGCCTTAAAATAAAAGAAAGAAAAATAACTATTCCTCTGGGTATAATTCTGCAGAAACAGCTTTTTATTATTATTATTATTATGATCATCATCATCAAGCAATTTCCCATGTTTCTCCCTAGCATCTCCCTTTCCAACAAAGAGTTTTTTTCTGAAATCTGACAGGAAATAAAAAAAAAAAGAGTCAAAAGTGGGAAACTCTGCTTGAAAGCAAATAGAGACTCTAATATGTACAAGGTCTGGAGGCATTTCAGTTAGATATCAACAGAATATTATCAGTAAAATAAAGTTATGGCAACTTTAACCTTTTCTACTTCTAGGACTCTGTAGCAGGAAGACTTCTCACCACTAGTATAGCATCATTTCCACTTATCTTATAAACATACTCCACATCATCTTCTAGACCTTGTAAATTTTAGAATCATAGTATTACGTTTTCACTGCTACCGCTTTAAAAATAGAAGTCAAGAAAAATCTAGCTGCCCATTGTTTGTTTGAAGACATTAAGATTAAGAAATATTATTTTGAATCAAAATAACTTATTTTTCTGGACTCCTTACAGTTGTACAAGTAACAGATGAGCTATATTCAGAGATCTTACCAAGGATTTCCACCAGCTTGTTTTGCCAGAAGTAACCTCTTTTCATCTTCAGAAAACTGTAAGTCCAGCTCAAAGGAATTGTTGTCAAGATCATGAATATACTGTTCAATATTTCCTCCTGATGTCTGTGGTGTACTTGTCTCAGGGGCAGACAGTGAATGGGAAGAGGCAGAACCAGAAACTTGCATGCAACCAAACTGACTCAGGAGATTGTCATACTAAGGAGAGGAAACAAAATGGAAGTAAAGAGATTTCTTTGAATAAAAATTTCCTTTTGCACTAAACCACAGCTTTTAATTTAAGCATGCTTTTGTTTATCACATTTTTTGGGCAAAAAGACCGCCTACTCTCTATAGATTAACAGGCACTTACCCAGAAAAGTAGGCTTGATCAAAAGCAAAGCAGCCAGTACTTTTTTCTAAACACTCAGTTCACCAGAAGAAAATGCTGACTAGTTCAAATTTTAACCAGCAATTTTATATTAGAGTCTTAATAACTGGGTCTTCATTAAAATTTAACTCATCAGTAGTTTCAATGAAATGTTTAATTTGCAATAATTATGCTTTAATGAAAGTCTCAGGCAGCATCAGAGCTGAATATAGCAACAGGCAAACATACATTTCCGTAACAGTCTTCATCATCCTCTGACATAGCAGGTAAATACGCTGTAAGTTTTGGGGGTGTCTGAAGATGTAGGTTCTCCCACACAATGGATTCGAAGAAGGGGTGAGCCTTAAGAGGTCCATATCCTCCCATTTCTTCACAACCTAATCTGTTGGTAGCATCTAGAACCTGAGCAAATTACAACTAAGTCAATAGGCATAAAGTAATGACAAGGAAGGAGCAAGAACCATTCACATTTACACAGCAGCACGTCAAAACTTAAACCCAGCTGCTCTCACTGTCCTAAGCATACAGAGCTAGAATATAAGGAGACTGCTTATAAAACAAGGTGTTATTTGTCAGTGTTACGTGTCTTGTGAGCAATATTTTTTATTAGATCAACTCATAGATCTACAGAAAGGAGCACTTCTCTGCATCCACACAATTTTTTGGGTTTGTTTCTTGATAAAGACAGAAATAAAACCAAGTAAACATATAGAGAAGGCATGACAGAGCATTGCTCACTTACGTATAGCCCAGCATCCCATTCTAGTGATGCAAGAAGCTGTGGAAGCAGTAGTTGCTGTCAAACATCAACCTCCCACCCAGCAGACACTGACTTGCCTGCAGAGGCAGCCTGGACACAGGAATGCGCTGCTAGGCCCTTTACAGCGGCTGCACTCATCATCATTCACATACACAAGACACAGTTTCCTCCTCACTCCCTTCTCAGGCTAACGCGCTAGACTATTGAACTTCAAAAAGCTTACAGCAGCCAAAATGTTCTCTGCATAGTCATTTTAGTGTCATGGCTATATCTCACCCATTAGACAGAACTATATTTTCTTCCTATCCGTCAAACATTCACATGCAGAGTAATTCTTTGGCTGATACTACTGAGACATGCATTAAGTGTAAGATAAGCACACATGAAAATGCAAGATAAATTGATTTACATTCTAATTAACATATCTCCCCGTGATGCACAGAATATTGTTTTCAACTAAGAGATTCATTACACAACTCAACAAGAATTTATCTGAATATTTGAATCTTAGCTTCCATGTGTAACAGACAGTATTTAGAACCACTTCCTTCCACTTCACCAAGAGACATTCCTTGTCCAGGCTTTAGAATTCAATTTTAAAAAAGAGTAAGTGCTGTTTAATAATGGATGCTGATTTTCAAGACACTCCTCTAGGCAGTCAGTAACACTTCCAGTCTTCTTATACGGCTTGAAATAGAGTGCATAGAAACTTTAGGAAAAAATAACTATCCAATGTCATCACATCATTTAACAGCAGCAAATATTTACCAATAGCTTTTCAACAAGGTCTTTTGCTTTGGGAAAAAACTTTTCTGGAAAGTCATATTCCAACTTTATTATCTTCTGGAATATAAGATATTCATTTCTGCAAAAGAGGAAAATATTCACTTTTGTTATAATTTCTCCGTAGTCCTTTCACCTTAACAGTGCACAATCTGGACAAATATGAAACGCGAGATCCACAAGTTCTCATAAATCTACAGGAAATGTGTACAGTCTTCCAAGTATTTATGATCCTGTAAACACCAGATACTTGAATAACAGCAAGAAAAAGGTCAAATGGCTCAATACAGAGGTGCCTCGTACCCTCTTCATGTAGGCATAGTTACTTTCATGGTATAAATTACACATGAAATCCTAGCATAAATTAAGGAATCTCTCGCAGGAACTCTAGTTACAGCCGTCTAAGTATCTTCCTGACATCAGAAAGGACAGACAAAAGCAGGTACGACATTAATACCAACACATCACCATGTAAAGTTGTACTTCAGAACTGGTAGGAAGGTAAAGGCAAAACCAAGTCAATGTACTTATGATTCACAAGTAAAAAATTTAAATCTCTTACCCAGCTCTAAATGGAGGCAATCCAGCCACAAGCTGATATATTATACAGCCCAGAGCCCAGAGGTCAGAGCTTCAAAAGAAAGAGGAAAAAAACACAGATAGCATGTTTTCCTAGAAGAAGTCTTTAAACTGTAAACTGAAATATTCCTGAGCTTCTGCTAGTTAGAACATAGCATGCACACATTGGACAAGACTGTCTAGTATAATTTCCACACTATTTTCATTTCATTCTTTGACAGAGGAGTCTAAGCAATACAACTGAATTCTCAGTCAAAGTAATTAATGGGTCAAAATAATTAATGAGACTAAAAAGAATACTTACTATCCACTGCCATAATTCAAAGATACATGCCAGAAAAAAAAGTCACAATACAGCTTTTTCACTTAAAGCTTTTTTTAAGACAAAAGGGGAGGCTATATGGTACAGGAGTGAGGGAAAGTCTTAAGTTTTAGTGTGCTAGCCTGAAAGAATAATTTTAATTTATTTTACTTTGAGGTAAGCTGCACATATATTTGATTAAAGCTTATAAATCCTCATGGAAGACTAGAACACTAACACAGACTCAAAACTACTCAAATAAAGAGTTTTCTGTAAAGATGATAGCCTGATGAAGTCTTTCAATTAGCCAAACCAGTCAAAACCTCTTTAGTAGAAGCAAAAGTCAAAAGTCTAATAGTATTTCTATCACTTCAGGAAACATTAGTACAAATTACCAGTTACTTATGTGAGGTCACTTCTCCCTATGATTTGTCAGTGATTACTTTGATTATTCTTCCATCATTGTAACAAAGCAGATACAAAACAGTCTGCAGATTATCATCAAGAACCAATTTCAATTAGCTAAGGAATTTCTTAAGGTTATCACTCATACTAGATACAGAGATGAGCTTTAAACCACTGCAAACCCCAAGCAGAGCTTTGCAAATATAACTGCAAAGAAAGTCGTAGCCTTTTCCCTAACTCACAGAAAGCGACATGTTGTTTTTACAAGAGCAATTACCATATGAGAGCAAGTATTCATAAAATTGAATTAAAATAATTATATTATTTGAACAACAGAAAGAAGTTTTCTGATTTATGGGTAAGAGAAATCCAGCTTCACATTTCATACATCCTTCTGGCAACACCTAATCCTGGCTACAGAACTCCAGAAGGCAGATGAATTGTGGAAAGCAGCACTCAGATAAGAAACAATACTTCTAAGAAAAAAAAAAAAACAAACACAACAACTTTATACTCAAGCATCTTGATTCTTTGAAATACTGAGCTTGCGTGCTTTATTAATCTTCTCCCTCCCGACATGTGACAATATCCTGATAGAGTCAGTAAAGTTCTGAAATATAATAGAATCCTCACCTTTTGCAGGCAGATTTCTCTGTTAGTAGTTCTGGAGAAACATACTGTGCTGTCCCAACAAATGAGTTTGCCCGTGCTGGTAAGAAAAAGGAAGGAAATAAGCAAGTACATATTTAATGGAGAAGCCAACTTCCCCCTTTCCCCCTGCCCAATAAAATCTAACTTAAAAAATTCAAACCACAGACAAAACCAAAATAAGCCAAAAAACCCAAACCCATATGCAATCAAAGGCAATCTATTGCCATTTACACAACGCTACAAAGAACCTATGGGACTTTCACTTCCCTACCCATCTACAAAACCAGCTTGGAAGAGACAAATCAATCTCAGTGATCTCTGGCTCAAGAAGCTAGGCACACCTAGGCACTTTGGGTACAAACCCCACCAAAACGAATTCACTACATTCAAGTAAAAACTTAAGTTTATGAAATTCAATTCAGTCTAGTGCTTTATTTAAGCATTATTTGCAGCATCATTGATTCATAGGTTAATACTCAGCAAGTAGTGACACGAATTCTACAATACTCACATTTGAGCAACTCTGATAGTCACGGGGATTTAATACATAAGTGGAGTAAAAACCTACTGTTTCAGCTGTGCCACAGTAATTTTTTGTATTCTTGTCTTGCAAACGAGAAGTAATTTGAAGTAGTTTAACTTCCCACTGTATTTGGTGATCTAGCTGGCTATACCACTAGATATTACCTCTTCTGACATAATCTAAGCTGTGACAGTCAAAACTGTTTCAAGATCTCTCAGTGATTTTGTTAGGCAAGTGGTAATGATAATTGAAGGTTACAATTTGGTAATTACAACATACATACATATTCAAAGGACCACTTGCCACAGTCACCTGTGCCACATGACGAAGTAAATAATGGCATACCTTGTCTGCTATCTGCAGATAACACTTTTGCTGTTCCAAAGTCTGTTATCTGAATGTGCATATCTTCATTTAGCAAGATGTTCTCTGGCTTAAGGTCCCTGGAAAAGGCAGATTTACATATTTACAGAGCACACAAGTTGCTAAACTGTCTAGTGACTTATGTACATATGCTATAATAAATAACGCAGACATTCTGTGAACATCATTGTCTTAACTTTCCCCTAACTTGTAGCTTGCAACATGCAGAGCGCTAACAGACTTTGAGAAGTCCGTTAATGTTTTTTCTAAAAAGATCTGAAGTAATGATTAATCTCAAAACTAAACTGTGCATGTCACTTGTCCAACAAAAGTTAAGAAACACTCTTCACTCCCAAGCCTTAACTTAAATAACGTCTGACAGATTGACACAGCAATAACAGCTTCTGGGCCTCTATACTTGGTGCAAAACTCTGCTTAGTCAAACAACAACAAACTCTCTGCTGCCAGCCAAATGCCCAGAACAGATGAGAACTTGTAAGCCACCTTCACGCTTTAAGAATGGCATGTTTACATCTGTCACATACAAATCCACATATAATCTGTATTTCAAATATATGCATACCATTTGCATGGACACTGCTTCTGATTCTGAATAAAACCAGTCCTGACAGTATCACACAAGCACAGTACACAGCAATACACTCAGATGTCAAGAGGTTCATTAGCAACAATGTAAAAACTAGCACTGGATTACACCATTATGATATTGTTTTCTTTGCACCAAGTTTCCCCAGCTGACAACCCAACATACTTCCCTCTTAAGACTCTGGGTAGTCATAAAGAAATTGAGAAGCATGGGGGTTGTTTTGATTGATGGGTAAGAAAAATCAGCACAAATTCAAAGCTGTTTCCATCAACCACTGGGCTGTATTATTTTCCTCAGCTTACAGTCCCCTATTATTGAAAAGCATGGGTTATACAGCTGTACGGCAAGTCTGTGGACTAGCACAGAGAGCAACTGAAATGAAGTAATTATGACAGACAAGCCACGAAAATCCTGTTCACTTTCCTGTAACTGTTCTCATAGAATGGACCTTTTAAACAGTTCTGTGGTTCAGGTTTTTTTACATGGACATGTGTATGTATATATGATGTACTCCATACACACACACATATACAATTTATATATATGTTAATATTATGTTATGGATCTAGGATATAGCTATCTATCTAGATATATACACAGATATAACTGTACTAACTTTTCCAGAGTAACCTGGCATCTTAAAGTGGTTCTATCTCATGTCATGATTCTTTAGGCAGCAGAAAATCCCAAGAGCTTTCAGGCACAGCTAGAGCTATGGACTTAAACTTTATACTAAATTCTCCAGTTGCATAATTTCACTGTTTTCTTTTGAGCTTCTCATAGTTGCCTTCGTACGAAGACAAATACAAACCAGCTCTTTTATCGTACAAGATTTCCCCTCCAGGCTTAGTAATACTGACAATCGTGCTGTGCTCTTTTTATAAGCATCCTTCCGGCCTACCACATACAAGCAAAACAGGGACTTCTTCAACTTTTCTTTTCTTGCAGAAAACTCCATGCTTTCAGTATTCTCCATATCCAACCCCCTTAGATTCTATTCCCAAGAAAAGTATTAGGAAAAAAATTGTACTTTTAAATATAACTGAAAGAAGCAATAATACCATCAGAATTATTATCAGCCAGATTTCTCCCAGCTGGCATCTACCAACTGCTTCAGAATCTAGAAACACAATAGATTTCTTACCCAAAAAGAAGTTCTGTGGCTCAGATGTCTCACACAGCTTTGATTTGTTTAATAAATATGAAACATCCAGACAATAATTACATCCACAACAACCACAAAGGTTCTACTAAAAACTTTGCTAAATTTCACTGTTTACCTTGTTCAGCTTTGTGGAAGATGTTCACGCAGTGAAAACTGACATACATTAATCTTACTTTTCTTGAGGACATGCTACACACCAGTTCACCCACCAGCAGATTTCTAGTTAGTTTTGGTACACAACACTGCCAAAAATTATCGGTTAAACACAAAAACACAAGCTTTTGGTAATGTTAATTCTAGGCCAAAATGTTTTCTTACGTTTTCCCTACTAGAACATTTGGTCTAGTAACAGAGATTGGCTTTCCTCTGCATAGCTCCCTGTGCTAGCAACAGAACGAATGATAATGAAATGCTATTATGCTCTCATTAGTTTTCCACAAAATCTATGTTTGCTTCAGACTTCACATTTAGAACACATCTAGAAAAAACACCTTGTGCATAATCAAATGCAAGTTGGTTGCAACTTTGTATTACCTGTGAATTATTCCTTTCCCATGCAAATATTCCAGGGCTGATACAATTTCAGCAGTATAAAACCTGGTACAGGTCTCATCAAATGAGCCAATTTTGCGTATATACTTCAGCAGCTCTCCGTTTTTGGCATAGCTTAGCCCAAAATCTGAATGTAGGTATAGTTAAGGTTTAATCACTAAACCATTCTAAACGAAAAACCTCCACAGTTCATTCCAAAGACAAGAATAATACTAAAAATATGTTAACAACAGGGAAGAAGAGGAAGTTGGTTCATTTTGAACTTTACATGGCTGCAACCCAAACCAGTTTCTTAAATACATTAACAACCTAGGACACGGGCCTGAATTTCCCAGCACTGCAAACACTACGTAAAGGGTTAAATTTGTAGTTTTTCCCAGACAGTCATATGAAAAATTCCTTTAAACTGTAATTGCCCTCAGAGAGAACTATTTACAGTTGTAACTAGCATTCAACTAAGTTTAAAAGTGCCCCAACATGTGGAAAGTTTCGAAGTCAGTCCAGTGTTCAGTGAGCAAATGTTTACACTCCAGGAGAGCCCTGGTAAGCTCTGTTCGTGCTCGTGTGTACATATGTACACACACAGACAGACACACACACACAGACACACACAGACACGGCCTGTGAGCACGGCTGGCAGCCTCTGTGGAAAACACAACAGCTTGCTGACCCCAGAAATAGACCGATCCATCCTTTTACCCTTGGCACAGCCCATTTGAAGCAGGAAGTTTAGGAGGAAATTCACATGAATAATATTTCCTTCACCAAAGAAAAACCCAACAACAAAAAAAAACAACAAAAAAAAAGCAGCATATGCAAATCAATGAGCTTTTGACATTGAGTCCCCAACATCCTTCTCTCTAGGTTGGAGACATATGGGTTTGATGGGTGGACTACTCGATGGATAAGGAATTGGTTGGATGGTTGCACCCACAGGACAGTGGTCAATGGCTTGATGTCCAGAGGGAGACGAGTGACAAGTGGTGTCCCTCAGGGGTCCCTGTTGGGACCAGCACTCTTCAGTATCTTCATCAATGATATAGACAGTGGGATCAAGGGCACCCTCAGCAAGTTTGCAGATGACACCAAGCTGAGTGGTGTGGTTGACATGCCAGAGGGACAGGACATCCTCCAGAGTGACTCGGACAAGCTGGAGAAGTGGGTCCACATGAACATCATGAAGTTCAACAAGGCCAAGTGCAAGGTCCTGCACCTGGGTCAGGGCAATCCTCACTATTGGTACAAGCTTGGGATGATGTGCTACAGAGCATTCCTGTGGAAAAGGATTTGGGCGTACTGGTAGAAAAAAGCTGGACATGAGCCACCAATGCATGCTCACAGTCCAGAAGTTCAACTGCATCCTGGACTGCATCAAGAGAAGTATGGCCAGCAGGTCGAGAGGTGATTCTGCCCCTCTGCTCTGGCGACACACCTGGAGTATTGCATCCAGCTGTGGAACCCTCAACAGGAGGACAAGGATCTGTTGGAATGGGTCCAGAGGAAGGCCACAAAAATGATCACAGGGCTGGAGCACCTCTCCTGTGAGGACAGGCTGAGAGAGTTGGGGCTGTTCAGCCTGGAGAAGAGAAGGGTACGGGATCTGAGCAGTGGCCGTCCAGTACCTGAAGGGGCTACAGGAAAGCTGAGGCGGGACTGTGTAGCGACAGGATCAGGTTCAGTGGTTTTAGGCTAGAGCAGGGGAGATTTAGATTAGGTATCAGGAAAAAAAGTTCTTTGCTGCGAGGGTGGTGAAACGCTGACACAGGTTGCCCAGAGAGGTGGTGGAGGCCCCATCCCTGGAGGCATTCAAGGTCAGGCTGGACAGGGCTCTGAGCACCTGGTCTAGTTGAAGATGTCCCTGCTCACTGCAGGGGGGTGGGACTAGAGGACCTCTAAAGGGCCCTTCCAGCCCAAAGCATTCCGTGATTCTAAGTTGAAAAACTGCATTTTCCAATTACAACAGTGGCCCAAACAGAAGAAATTCAGCTTTCTATCATTAGGATTATTCTGTAAGCACTTATGCATAAGAATTTATTAGACTGAACTGTTCAGATAAGAAATAGCAGTAAATATAGCTGGCTATCCCTATTTTAAACACAGCAATCATGGTGGTTTACAGCATATATCATAAATAAAACATTGCTAAAACATTTCTCATATGCCTATTTACTATTTTTTATTATTATTTTAAACTTAAGACTGCTGCAAATCACCCTTCAATATTTACTACATGGGCCATGTAAGTTGTTTTACACATCACCCCTATCCCACAAGTCACCCACTCTTCTCATTGAGGAGGCACACTCATTCTATTTGCTTAATTTCTACTGCAAGCATGAGTGCAAAAATTGCATTGCAAACATTAAGATAGTTTAAATACCTCATGGTATTTTCATCATTCCTCTCAGACAACGCTTCAAAGGAACCAAAAGTGAAGACTTCTACTTTTAAGGAAGTGTTACAGAAAGTTTTAAAATGTAAAGGATACATAGCTTTTCATCATCCTGAAAGGTGAAGTAGAGTTTCACAAAAAAAGGGTGATCCAGGCGGGACATTACATCTCTCTCTCGTGTCACATATGGCACCTTGTTTTCTTTTATGATATGACGTTTTTCTAGAATTTTAACTTAATGAAAAAAAAAGAGTGAAAATACAGAAGATATAACCAAATAGAAGTCCATCTGTGTAATTTGTTTTGGGGGTTTTTGGTTAGATACAATTATCATAAAATCACTAATTCTCTATGAATTTGTATTTTGTAACAGGACTACACTGATAATGTATTTTTAAGAAGCTCACATTGAAGGAGTCAATACTTACTGGCATATTCTCTAGAACTTGTCAATTCTCGAGCCAAGACGACCTGTTGCCAGAGGAGAGAAATTATGTTGTAAGCGTTCACTAAAGACATTCATTAACATTGATTTTGATCTTCCAGTATGTATTTAGAATACTGATTGTCAAAAATAAGCTATCACAACTGCAATCAGCAAAATATTTAAGCATGTGTTCATATTACGTTGGCTTTAGCAAGACCTCCACAGAAATTCAGCTCAGCATAATTTATGTTTGTTTTGCTAGGAGCAATACACCTGACTGGGTAACCACTGTTTGGTTAGGTGGCTTTTTTCCAGAAGAATTCTGAAGCTTGTAATGTAAATCACAGTAAATTGCCCAATCTTCTTAAGGAGGGGGGGAAGAACACCTAAAGTGCACCAAAGATTATTCATAGAAATCTGCTACCGTACTTTTTTTTTTAACACAAATGACAAAGACTGAAACAAAAACTGCATCTGAAAGAGCAAAATTAAAAAGCAAGATAGAGCTTTAGGCTATTTACAGTTTGTTAGGAAAAAGATTAAAATAAAGAGAATGAGAGATTTCCAATTAGTAGAAGCAAGGGATAAAGCTTCAGGCAAATAGAAGAGAAAAAAGAAAAGCTTCTAGCAAAACACAAAGTTTGCCTTCAAGAAGGAACTGCTATAAAAGGCAGCTCTGAAGAAAATCTGAAAAGTCCTCTTACATTAATCCAAGCAATAACCTTGTACCAACAGATGACTACAGTTTGTGTTTCTCTCACTTGGAATTTATAACCATTTCTTTACCCTGCTAGAATCTCATAATAATACTAATTTGGCAGACATCATGGCCAAGCCCAGCTCTGAGCTTGAACTGCCAGAGATCACTTCTGCATTTAAGAACTGGTTTTGATCAGACAGTCATACTCCCTTAGAGCTCTTGCTAAGAGAAGCCTCATTTATAGGTGGAGACAAAACCAAAGACAGGCCGAAGGGAGATGTATTAGCTGTATAAGGAGGTGCTGAGCAGAACATGCCTACCAGAACATGAGAATTATAATTCTGCCACCACATAAGAAATATTATTCTGACAAGAACATGAAGCTGTCTACAAAGCAAGTAGATTTACATTACTTTGAAAGAGTAGAGCAACAACTGCAAGGCCCTGCATTTGAGTATCTGTTAACATCACGCATGTGCCCAAGAACAGCTACAGCTGCAGAAGGTCCCACTATTGCAGAACGCTCTGAAGAAAAGTTCCCTGAGGTCAGATCATCAGCACCTCTGCTGAATTTGAAATACAGCACTGGCACCAGGTAGAGTTTGTGGCAGCTTAACAGAAGTTCAAGAAAACAAACAGAAAGTTTAAAGAAGTTCAAAAGAAACAGAAGTTCAAGAAAACAGAATGTGTTCGTTATGACCTCAGTAAATTATCTGATTATTTTATTTCTTTATTTTTAAACCTGAAGCTATCTTTGGAGGCACGGCAATACGAAGGCCTCTGGTTTTGAGATGAACACTTTTCAGTCACAATATTGGTGAAGATCTTGGGAAGTACAATCAGATCTCTGAGTCTACAAACATTTAATAAGAACAAAGCATATGCTTTTTAACAAGATGGTTTGATAACAACATGAAAATACACACCCCACGGATCAAGAGCTCCACTGTTCATCCATCAGAGTGTTGTGCTGCCATTCAGAGGGATCTCAACAGAGTATACAAATAAGCAGGCAAGAATCTCATGCAGTTCCCTTTTTTGAACTCCAAACTCCTCCTCCTGGGGAGGAATAATCCTATGCACCAGTACATGCTGGGGCTGACAGGGGAAAAGCAGCTTTGCAGAAGAGACTGATAGAATGTTTGGGGTTCAAAGAGACCCTTAAAGGCCATCTAGTCCAATCCCCCTGAAGCGAGTTGCCTGGAGCCTTCTCTTCTCCACATTGACCAATCCCAACACTCTCAGCCGTTCCTCATAGGAGACGTACTCCATCCCTCTGATCATCTTTCTGGCCTCCGCCAGACTGAAGAACCAAGCAGTACTGGGATGGGGGTGGTGTGGGCTGCGAGGGTCTCACTACAGTGGAGGGGCAGAATCACCTCTCTCAAACTGCTGGCCAAGCTCCTTTTTATGTCACCCAGGACACAGCTGGATTTCTGGGCTGCAAGTCCATATCGTCAACATGTGTCCAGCTTTTCACCCACCAGTACCCCTAAATCCTTCTCCCAAGTCCTTATACCGCCTAAGGAGACTTTCCGCTGTGCCTTTTGCAACCGGACTTGCCTATGCCGCATCGGCCTTTTGAGCCATCAGTGTGCTTGTAGCAAGTGTGGGTACAGCCCTTCCCGTATCTGGTTCGCGAAGCCTAGCCATGACATGACCCTCAAGTCCTTCTCCACAGGGCTGCTACCAAAGGACGACCCAGGAGTCCTTGTGGACACCAATCTCAACAAGAGTCAGCAATGTGCCTTTGCCACAAAGAAGGTGAATGGTACCCTGGGTTGTATTAGGAGGAATGTCACCAGTATGCTGATGGAGGTGATCCTTCCCCTCTATTCAGCACTGGTAAGATGATACCTGGAGTATTGTGCCCAGTTCTGGGCTCCTCAGTAAAACAGACACATGGAGCTACTGGAGAGAGTCCAGAGAAGGACCACTAAAATTATTAACAGAGGGGAAATCTCTTATTGTGGAAAAGCTAAGAGAGATAGGATTGTTCAGCCTTGAAAAGAAAAGGCTCAGAGAAAAGTTCACCAACATATTTATAAATCTGAAGGGAAAGTGTAAAGAAGATTGAGTCAGGCTGTTTTCAGCAGTGGGTGAAACTGAAACAGAGGAGGTTCCATTTGAACATCAGGAAACACTTTTTTACTGTGAGGGTAACCAAGCACTGGCACAGCTTGACCAGAGAGGCTGGATGAGACCACTGCCAGAGGTCCCTTGCAACCTTAATTGCTGCTCTTACAGAATCACAGAAGGATTAAGTTTCCTCCTTGAAGGATGCAGTCTATAGGCTGAAGGCTAAAGTTGTTATCAAAAGTTTAAAGGTTTTACATTAAAAAAGATAAAAATAAAATCAGTTGCTGAAGACAAGACCGGACTTTCTACCTGCCACCGACAACAAGCAAGTACTGTTAAGTCCCCTTCAGCAACAGTTTGTAACCTGTTCAGGGGCCATGGAAAGAGAACACGCAAGCATCTCCTGTGCAGTCCGAGCACTGTGATGAGTTTCTCAAATCACAGCACTGCAGTAATGAACCGGACCTGCCAGAGCTGACAGAGGAGGTGAGAGGCAGGAAGAACGCACGCCTGAACATCCTCTCCCTACCTGAGGCCCAGATGATTATGATAACCAAAATTTTGCTTGTACAACTCAAAAATAATACGGCTATGTGGAAGTTAACATTTTCACAGCATTCTCCTCTGCTGTCAGCTAAGTTCATTTGAGCTATCAAGTCTTGGAACTAAGAAAAAAAAAAAATCTATCAGTGAACAGGGTAGTAGAATGCTGGAACAGAAGTTTCTTCAGAGTCTGGGCTAGGCCCTATGAATTTCTTCATTTACAAGGAACATCATGCTAACTTTCAGAGACCATAAGCAGAAATTAAAAGCATCTCACTGAAGCAGAGTGCTCGGGTACGCTTCAAGAGGCAGCAACTCCTTTGATTCTTCAGGGAAGCCTGCAAGTTGCAACTATGTATTTAAGTGCAAATTACTCCTGATGACTACTAACAAGTAACACCAGGGGATGTTCGGGGTAGACACAAGAAAAACTTCTACACTGAAAGATTTATTGAAGACCAGAACAGGCTGCCCAGGGCAGTGGTTGAGTTGCCATCCTTGGATATATTTAAAAGCCATCCAGATACAGTGCTCAGGGACATGGGTTAGAAGTGGACCTGGAAGAGTTAGATAATGGTTGGACTTGATTTTGAAGGTCTTTGCCAACCAGAATAATTCTGTGATTACAAAGGCCTGCTTCCTTAACACCACAGTGGATTGCACAGGAAGAATCAGAAAAAAACCCCATATTTAGAGAACAGCAACCAAAAAGTATACACAACAAACAATAAAGATGTGACAAGCATACAGAAATCCTATTATTGTCTTACAACGAGGCAACTACAAAAGCATCAAATTAAAGCATTAATTGCTTCACAGGTTCTTTAAGATAACACTTAAGTAATTATTCTCATGCAATGCCACATATAAGTAAGTTAGAAACAATCCATTTAAAGCTACTGAATACAAAAATACTAACTGTGGCTCAAAGTCCTTGAGGACCACAACACTTGAGAAAGAATATTGGAGAAGTATCGCTGTTCTTACTTTATTCCCTAAGCACCTGGCAGTAGCTCCTGCCAAAGACAGGACATTGCACAGGAGTTCTTACAATGACAAACTCTTAGCCCTGTTCCAATTCTGTATCATAAAATTTTACCATAACCCATTATGCTATCAAGCTTACAGTAGAAATCAATGTCTCCTAAGAATCCAAGCATTAAGTCATCAGGATACAACGGAACTTCTGGTGATTTTTAAAAGTTACTTGAACAGTCAGCACCCACATTTAATGCAACACTTAATTTTATAGTTAAACTTTAAACCACTACATCCCATTCATTTACTCTTCAGCTTGTTCTCTGCAGCAACGTTACTTGACCCAACACTTTTGAAGTTTAACTACGATATTTGGCACTTCTTATAAAAGGTAAAGTTACCGTTGAAAAAGATCCTTCACCCAGAATTTTCCCAAATTTGAAGTCATCGGGTCGTTTCTTTCGAGGCTGTGGAGGCTGCTGTCCTGTATGCTGCTGCAAGGAGTTTGAACTAGATCTTGCTTCCGCTACGGTGCCCTCCATGCTAGATCCCTGTCTGCTGCCACAGGTGGAAATGACAGGCGGAGTGCTGGAATCTGCTTGGTTCCTGGCCATTGATGGCGATGAACAGGAGCATAACACCACGCTAGACTGGATTGGAACAGCATCATACTGAAAAGAGATATAAAACTGTTATTCCCATACCTTCAAATAAGCACCACATACACCTGCTCTTTATTTCCACATAAGCATCATATCAAGTCCTATTTGAAGGGGTTATCATTAAAATGCCTTTAAGAGTATTTGTTTTGGAAACAGCGGCTCTGAATTTGTTAAACAACTCTGTTTAGCCATGCTGTGCACTTACATATAGTCGTAAGTCAAACATCTGCACATTTTAATGCAAGAATGTTTTTTTCCAAACTCAGAAACATGCTCCCTAACATCAAGGTACCAAATTTTGTGGTCTATTCTCCGATGAATAATATGACCTTTAAACTTTACTTCACGCTTAGAGACTGAGCCACGCATCCAATTTTAACAAGTAGCAGTTTCCTCAAAATTAAAGGAATGTTATGCTAATTATGCAATTAACTAGCTATGCAACGAACAGCTGTATTCATGAACACTATTATTTTAAAGATACGAGACACAATGAACAGTAAATGAAGAAGTAAAGCATGAAAACTTTAGCGGAGACAAAGAATACCTTCCTTTATTTTTATGTGGAATCTCACTTTCTCCAATAGTATTTCTCTTTAATGTTTTACTTGATACTGGCCAGGAAAGAGACAATAGGAGAGCTCTGCTGAACTACTTTTGACAACAAAAACTGAAATGGTACGCAGAGGGCATATTTAAGAAAATTAACACCAGGTCTGAACATTATTTTTTAATCTCAGTATTCTAACACACATCCACCAGAATGAAATGAGGACTCGATGAAAATCTAACCTCAAAACAGACATATTATACAACCTTGACCTAGTCTGTAACATATTTCACATTGATATTCAAATAAAAACATATTTTTCTCATAGGTAATATTTATCTCATGAATGTCAATTTAATTCAGAACAGCTTCCTGCATTTCTAGCAGAAACCACTTTAGAAGGGAATTGGACTTGCATTCAATCATGCATATTGGCTTAAAGCACCTCACTCCCAAATTAGCAATTACGCACTTGGCTGTGCTCTGTG